CACGGCCACGCATCCCCCCTCATGGTCCCGAGGGGACAGCATGGGGACAGTGTCCCTCCGTCCCACATCCTCCCAGTGTCTCCCCCGTGCTCCAGCCCCGAGCAGGGCAGGGGTGCCAAGGGTTCTAATTCGGGTGTTTCCGGCCTCCCCCGGCCAGCGCTCGGCTCAGGGGTGTTGACGTCCCTCTGATTTAAGGAAAAACCCAGGGATTTTGGAGCTCTCTGCCAAGCCACCATGGCAGAACCTCCCCGGGGTGGGGATGGGGGGGTGGGTTATCTCCCAGCAAAGCCTGAGCTGGCAAAACTCAAGCCCAGCCTGGACCTCCCCAGATCGCCCCAGGGGACCCTCTGTGGCCGTGCTGGGCCGGGCAGGGAGTGCAGGGACCAGCCAGAGGCTGTGGGTGTGGGAGGCAGGCAGGGATCCTGCTCCTGGGATGGGGAGGCTGTGGCTGAGCCCCAACAGAGCTGCCCACAGCGTGGCTACCCCGTGGGGGCTGCACTGGCCCCCAGGAAGCTTCACCAGGGCCTTGGGCTCCCTGGCACGCTGAGGGCAGTGAGGTGTGGGGAGGGGACAGATCCTGGGGATGCTGCCCCAGTGCATGGTGGGAAATTCCCTGCTGTCCCTCCAGCATCCCCCCCTCCCCCCTGGCTCCCTGCTCCTTGCCCCTTGGGGCTCCCCAGTTTTGGGGTGGTGTGTCCAGTCCTCTCCCCACCTGGTCCCTCCCTCACGACATTCCCAACACCCACAGCCCCCCCAAGACCTGCTGCCACACCGGGGTGCTGCAGACCCCTCCCGGAGCCCCTCCCAGCTGCCAGCTCCCCCCTCCCGGCCCTTCCACATCCATCATTCCCGAGGAGCGCAGGGAGGGAATGGGAAGAGTTTGTCTTTCAGCACCTTCTCATCGCAGGCAGGCGCGGGCTCTCCCTCGCCCCGAGCCCTGTCTGGGTCCCCTCCCTGTTCCCTGGCACCCACTGGGTGCAGAGAGCAGCACCCCCAAACCCTCCCCTCCACGGCAAGTGGGGCTCCGGGGGTGCTGCTGTGGGTTGACCCACGCTGGTGGTGGGATGGGGCCACCCAAACGCCCGCTGGCACGGCCAAATGACCCCGGTGGTGGCCGGTCCCTCAAGCCACGTCCAGCAAGGGTTAACCCCGGCTCCCAGCGGGGCAGGACTGCAAGGAAGCTGCTGCTGAGACAGGAGGCCGCCTGTGCTCTGCTGTTCTTCACCCTGCCGGGCTCCCGTGGGCCCTGGTCTGCCCTCACCCCCCCACCCTGCACCCCCAGCCCCCTGTGCCGAGCCGTGCCCGGCCATTCCAGGGGAGCCGTGAGCAGGGATGCAGTTTATGTAAGGAGTGCGTGTCCCCAGGACACACACACGTTATATAAACCTGCACGGCACTGCTACCATCAGCACCACCTCAGCAGGAACCCAGGAACGGGGGGTCCACCCGGGGGAGCCCCCTGGACCTGCTCCCCCCTCTCCAGGGCCGGAGCATCGCTCGGAAGGAGTGGGCTGTGGGAGCTGGTGGGTTTGGGGTCGGGGTGTCTCGGTGCTGAGGGGTCTCAGTGCTGGGAATGGTGCAGAGAGCACTCACAGGGCACTGGTTTTTGCCAGGGCA